CTGGCTGGCAAAAAGTGGCAGTCTAGATGGGGATCGGTCGACAAGGAAAGCCTTTTCCAACTGATCCCTTATGCCTTGTGCAACGAGGTTTACAGGATCAGTTGTAAAAGGCTTTCCTTGTCAACTGATCCCAGTCTAGACTGCCGCTTTTTGCTGGCAAAGTGCCGCATCAGCAAAAAGCAGCGGCCACTTTTATTCTAATGAAGCGGGGGATATATAAATCCCTGCTTCATTAGCAATTTCGGTATGTCTAATTTACATCCCTCTGGTGACATGTGGTCTAGACATACCCCTACAGTAGGAACAATGCTTAGACCCACTTTAATCTCATTTTACACAGGCTACTGATAGTCATCTCCTGGGCATACCTTTCAATAACTACTGGGATGGGCTGGATTTAAATCAGGATCCTAGCAATGAAGCGCTAATGTCCTATTACTGGCCTCCAGAGCACCCAGTCCTTTTCTTGATTTCTATTATTCTGAAAGATATGGAAGTGACTTTATCCAAGTAAGAAAGGATAAAGAGCCAAATCCTAGTTGGTGGAGTTTTATCAATATTGGACCAAGATATAGCACAGACTCATTTGTTTTCAACCAAGCAGCCAACCAAAAATACTTGCTAAGCCCAAGATATTGTGTGAAATGTTCTAGCTCTCACATACTCAGGTTAGAATCCTAGCAGAACTGACTCAGCCTCCTCTGGCTAGCGTTTGGTGCCCTGCACTTTGCTGAATGTGGTTCTTTCAGACAGGATCTTAAATTTAAAGACCCATCACCTGTGTGGACATTGACTTACCATAAGAGCAAAGATTTGCCTTTGTGTCTGGCTATAACACCCTTATTGCCACATGTTGTCCAATGGGGGGAGGGGCTGCATGTTAGGGATACTGTAAACAGAGTTTAGAATGAATGGTATAAAAATGTACTTTTATTCTTTCTTGGTATGCCACTCTGGGCACTGGATACTTCTGAGTTAGTTATTTGACTGACTTTGCTTTCAGGTTGAAGCAACTCCTTTCCTACAATGCTGTCCTGAGGCCACAGTACCAATGCAATATCAGAGACTTAGAGAATGTGGGGGGGACAAATGGGACGATCAGAGCTGCACTCCAAGACCCTATTATTATACAGGCTACCTGTCCCTGTAACACCAAAGGTAAATGTATTTTTCCTCACTTGGCAGATGTTTTCCTGTGGTGTTAGAAACAATGTCTTTGCTTCACATTCACACTACTCTGAGCCTGTCCTAGCTCAAGTAATCAGTGAACAGTGCTGGGTATATAGAGTAATAGCTAGTCAGTTTCTATCCTGACTGAGCAGCACTGAATGAGAACAGTCATTTGGAAATGCAGCGTGTGAAAGAAAAACCTCCTAATAAAAATGTTGGCAGCGCTGTCACTGGCTAGCTAGAACTAGACTGGACAAAACTCAGAATTAACATCAAGTAGAGACCAGTCCTGCATGGGCAGGGAGATGGAGTAAGTGACCTCAAAGATCTTTTTCATCTCTATCTTGTCTGATTTTGTTAAAGAGTTTGCAGATACTTCAGTGCCCCAGTGTTACAGTCAGGACAATTACTGTGAAGAAGACTTCTCTCTGTCTGTGTGTGTAGTGTATGCTATGTGCTTCTGGAACTCTTGTCTGACCCTCCTGAGAGCCATCGTTTCCTTTGGTGAGCTAGTAGGAGCTTTGGCGCGCTCAGATGGGAAAGCTGCGAACAGGGGATAAGAGGCCTTTTGGTGGAGTAGATCAAGACTAAATCAGTATTTTGGTGTCCACCTTGACTAACTTCCAGCTTTAAAATTACCTTGCCACCACTAGAGTCTCCCATCTCTTCCATGGTTTCACCTGGATATGGTATTCTTCTTAACTTCCTGTCTTAAACGGTTAGTTTCCACCACACTGACAGCTGCAGTGAATGAGTGGTTCCACTACACACAGTTTGTAAAGCACTTTGGGCTGAAATGTCCTAGATGGATATAAGCTAGCATATTATTATTACTTATTGGATTTGAATCTCTCCTCTTTTGCCTATAAAAAAGCACATTGTAGAGCTATTGCCATTCTGACTCTTTTTTGACTGAGAACAAGATTGGAAGAGATATAAAAAAAATCTCTGCTGTTTCCTTTACATCAGTGTGTAACCCTTCTGCCAGGCCGAGTAAATAGCAGCAAGGGCAACAAGGTAATACAACACCGGCTCGAGCCCCCACCCAGTGACCTGGGAAATCTTACATATACCTCTGGGTGCCTCAAAGAGGCAAGTCTTCCCCTCTCGCAAGCACAGAGCCTCAGTATAGCAGCAAACCTTTTATAACATGAGGTAACCGACATCAGCATTAAATTGGGAAAACACCACAACTCGGATTTACAGACCAAGCATCAGCAACGGCCCTCCCCCCAGCCACAAATCCCCAAAAGTCCAACACCCCAAAAGTCTCTGCCCTGGGTCAGTGCCGCCCCAGGGTTCAAAAGTTCACCCAGCAGGGTTTCACCCTCCCAACCTGGAGGGGCGGGGATCGATGCACCTTACGTGGCCGCCGATGGCTCCGCCTCTCTGTGGGGTTCTGCCGCCGTCGACACGAGTCACTCCGCCAGCCATCTCAGTCCACGCCCTTGGCTGCCAGCTGGTTGCTCCTGCTGCTGCTCCACTGGCTGGCTGTCTGCTGCCACTCCTACCAGCCTCAGGTTAGCTGCTCTGCTGTCTGCCCGCACCCGCAGGTCGTCCCCGCCAGCTGCTCTGCTGTCCGCCTGCACCCACCGGTCGTCCCACCGGTTGTCCCGGCAAACCGCTCTGCTGTCCACCTGCGCTTGCTGGTTGTCCCTTGCAAGCTGCTCTGCTAGTAACCCAGCAGCTTAGCACGCCGATGGCTCTGCCTCTTTGTGGGGTTCTGCTGCCTCTCTGTGGGGTTCTGCTGCTGTCAACACGAGTCACTCCGCCAGCCGTCTCAGTCCATGCCCTTGGCTGCCAGCTGGTTGCTCCTGCCGCTGCTCCGCTGGCTGTCTGCTCCACTGGCTGGCTGGCTGCTACCGCAGGTTGTCCCCGTCTGCTGCTGCTGCCCCACTGGCTGGCTGTCTGCTGCCGCAGGTTGTCCCCGTCTGCTGTCTGCCTGCACCCGCTGTCTGGCAAACCGCTCTGCTGTCCACCTGCGCTTGCTGGTTGTCCCTTGCAAGCTGCTCTGCTAGTAACCCAGCAGCTCAGCACCAGGCTCCCCTCCGCAACAGTGATTTCAGCTCCTTCTGCATTATAGCGCTAGGCTTCCCTCAGCAACAGTGATTTCAGCTCCGTCTGCACTATAGCACCAGGCTCCCCCACAGCACACAGTGATTTCAGCTCAGAACAGAGGAGCTTCAGCACTAATACTCAACAGATCACAACTAGACTCCTAACAGAATCCAAATTAATTCTGATATTCCACAGTGGAGAGAGAAGGGTATGTAATCAGTGTTCCTTGGGCCCTCAAACAGGGCCCCACCACTAGGTACAGAAACCTGTCCCTTAATTCTGATATTCCACAGTGGAGAGAAAAGGGTGTGTAATCAGTGTTCCTTGGGCCCTCAGACAGGGCCCCACCACTAAGTACAGAGACCTATCCACAGCCTTTCTCAATTTGACTGGTTTTGGAACCCATGCCCCTTGTCTAGCGAGTGCTACTTAGTTTATGGTGAATCCCTCTGTCATAAACAGTTCCACCATTCCATTGTCCTTGATTCATATAATCAGGGTAACAACACTTTTATCCCCCCCACCTCAATAACAGAGACTGGGGGTCCCACAGTGGCCAACATGACCATTTGGGCTGCTGTGAGCACATACTAGACAGGGTGGGTGTGTCTATTCAAATTGGGATCGGCCCCTGAAGTCTCTTTGCACCACTTGCCACAGTTCACCACCAGATGTCAGGGTAGAGTTTACCCTGACCCTGCTTACGAGTGTATGTAGTGATAACTGACAAAATTTGTTCTTTGATTGTTATGCAGAGAGAATTGCTGTCACTGGCAAATGGTTGGAGGCAGTTTTCTATGCAGCCCTGAACAGTTGTATGTGGCGGCACCTGCCCCACCAGCAGGCATTGAAGTTACTGAATGATGTATGTTTCCCCAAGCAATGCCCCATCTGTGCAGAAAAGACCTCCTGCCCACGGTTTGTGTGTGGGAACTTTGTCAACCAAACCTTTGTCTCCTCCCTGACTGAAGAAGAGTAAGTAAAGTGCCGAACTTCAGATGTTTTTTCTTGGCCACCCTCTCTGAACCTTTTCCACATACCAGGATTTGAAAGCCAAGAGTCTTCCTATTGCAGAGGAATAATACTGTACACACCCTCCTGATTTCATGTCATGCACCAGTGGCGCTTTCTTTAAATTGACCCAACAGTCAAAGTCTCCTTTATTGTTATTAGATTTGGCTCCCAAGTTCCTAAAATGGGACTTTGGCACTTTTTGTTACCTTGTGATAACTCAAAGAACAATATACTGGCAAAATGCCTCAGTATCTCAGTCTGAGCCCCTAGCCCCTCTATTCTTATTTATATTGATAAGAATTTACTCAATGGGGATATGTGCATCCTGTTCCAGTTGTACAACTTGGTGTAAAACAGCAGAACAGAGAATTTCCATACTGGACAGTCCACACTGCTAGGCCTTCTAGTTCGGTATCCTGTGTTTGACAGTAGCCAGTACCAAATGCCCGAAAGGAGGTTCAGGAAATGCATAATGAATAATCGAGACTAATCTGTCCATAGGGAGTTTGTTTTTAATCTCTCACTCAATGCTTAGGTTCTGCTCTGAAATAGGCTGACTTATATCCCTTCCTTTAAACAAAAAAGTCTAATGTATTTATTTAATATATTTTTACATCACCTCTTTAAAATATTTGAGGCAGCTTACAAAAATTTTAAAAACACAATACAAATATACATAAAAAATTAAATACGAGACCACAGAGGGACTTAAGCCTGCTAAAAATATCTAAATGTCTAGTTCTGTTTTAAATCCTATGATGCCCTTGGTATCACTGTTGTCTTGTGCCAGATAAAGCATGCATCATATAAAAATCAGTTTAATCAAATGTCCCTTTATTCTTATTTGAGAAGACATGATTCACCTTCTCTAGACTGTTCATTATTTTATATACTGCTATCATGTCCTTTCTTATTGCTCTTCTGTCTAAACCAGACAGTCCCCATAGTCTCAGTCTCTCTTTACACAAAATGCAGGACAATGTAGGCATTTTGCTTCAACTACCCCAGACTAACACGGCTACATTTCTATCTCTTTACACAGAAATCAGACTAACACGGCTACATTTCTATCTCTTTACACAGAAATCGTTCCAGGTCTTTCAATCTTTCATTGCTTATCTTTGAAACTCCTCCTCTTTCTGCTGTATTTTTGCCTTGAGATGGTATTCTGGATGAGGGTATGTCATTGATTTATATAACTGCATTATAACACTGGCATTAAATATTATCAACATTATTTTCCATTCCATTATTTAGGAAAACTAATGTTGTTTATTCTTTTGTGGCCACTGTACATAGTGAAATCTTTCCCCTTGATTACCATGGTCACAGGTATTTTAAAGCTGTAAATAACCAAAATAATGTCATGTCATTTGCAAATGTTGCTAACTTGCTGTTTATTCCTTTAAAGATCAATAATAATTATCCTAAGCACTGGCTCTAGCATGGAAACATAAGGCATCTTATTTTTGGCATGGTGAAAATAGAATAGAAATATAGGAGGATCCATTTCCTGTCCCTTTACCACTCTCTGATTCATGACAGAATTTTACCCTAGGTGTCTAATTTACATCGATATCACTGAAGGGTTTTGAAGTTCAAATGAATTGTTAGCTGATTCATCCTTATCTAGTTTGGCTAACGCAAAGAGCTTTAGTAAGACATAATCTTTCTTTACAGAAGCTGTGCTGGTTAGTCCTAACATATCATGTTACTGTAGGTCTTTCATAGTTCTTTTTAACTGTCATCAAGCAGCCTGGTCGCTGCCAGAGCTCTCGCTTGGCTCGCAGCTCGATCCAAAGGCTCTGGAAGGGCCTCTCCTATTTAAACCAGTTTACCTGGTAGTGAAGTGAGATTCATTTGTCTGTACTTCCTAAGATACCAGGACAGGTACAAAATTTCTGTTAAGTGGCTCCTGCTGCTGCTTGCCTAGTACTCTGACTCTTTGTCCGGTTTCATTTCCAAACTTCAGCAAAACTTTTGGTTTTAATGTTTCCCGGTCTTCTTGGTAAAGAATCACCACCTTGGCTAGCCATCTGGAAAATATTATCCTGGTGTCTGACCTCATGTCCACAGCATGCCAATGCCACCATACATTTATCAGTGGATTTGGATGAAAATGATGAGTAATGTTCCTTTATCCTTTTCAAGGATCCATATTCAGAACTGGAGAAGAGAATGTGGCATTAGGACACCTAGATTCATTTTTTCTATCACAGATCTCCTGTACGAACTTGGGATGTCACTTCCTTTCTCTGTTTCCTGTCTATAAAGTGAGATTAATACTCACCTAGTTTATGAGTAGCAGGAGGGCCGATGAAGCTTTATTTATTTACTAGCCAATAACCTGGGATTTTTCAGGATAGAATGGGATTTTTCGGGACTCTCCTCTATGTCTGTCTCTCTCTCTCTCTCTCTCTTCGTCCTCCTGCCTCTCCCCCCCCCATCTCTCCTCCACCTCCTGCCTCTCTCTCTCCGTCTCTTTCTCTTCTCCTCTTCCTGCCTCTCACTCTCTGTTTCTCGTCTCCTCCCTCTCCTGCCTATCATTCGGGGGATCGCAGAACCCAAACGACTGTTTGGGCTCTGTGTTACCTGTGCGGGGGCAAGCAGCTGTTTGGGCTCCATGCTCTTCATGCAGCACAGGGAGCGCGGAGCCTAAACGGCCGCTTGCTCCCCCCGTGGCAGCCCGGCGGAGCGGTGCAGAACTCAGCTGAGCGCCACGGTGGGAGGCAAAAGGCGGGCGTGGCGGTGATGTACACAGCTGGGCCCCGCCACCGGTGCTGCATGGGGAGCTCGGGGCCCAAACGGCTGCTTGCGCCACTTGCTTCCCCGCTGCGGCTCAGCTCAGTGGCACAGAACTCAGCCGAGCACCATAGTGCGAGGCAACAGCGCTCCCCAGAGGCGACTCTGTAACACTACAGCGTTAGTCACAGACATTGGACTACTATATATATGATTTGTAAAGAGTCTTGTCACCCTCAGACAGGGCTATACAGATGGATAGCTTTATTGCTGCCACCTTGTATGGCATTCATCTTGTGGAGCTTCTGGGTTGCTCCAATCAGATTTGCTTTTTCTGTTTAAAAAATTTTGTTTTTCTGTTTAAAACATTTAAGTTAAATGTAATGTTTGTGAAAATTATTAAACGAACATACCCAGAACATGAGAACTGCTTTTTATTCCTCCAGGCAGGTGCAATGGCAAAGACAATTTACTTCTCACTCCCAATGTGCCTTTGAGGGATAATTGCTAGGAGGGAGAAGGGAAGTAAGTCTCCAGGGCCTACTCAGACTTTGACCTCTCAAGCCAAAAGGGGGGTAATCTGTTAGTAGTTTTTTCTTATGTGATCACCTGTTCAGAACAAACAGGGTGCTGTCTGGTTACGGGCAGCCCTCTTATCATCTTGATAGTAGATGGATGCACTTGATGTCTCCAGGTCATGTTGCCATGACAGAGTGGCTGTATCATCTATCTAACATCTGATTGTTCTATTAGAAGCCAGATACCAAAAGACCTGTCCAATAAGAACCAAACTGAGACCCCCAGCACATTTCATATAGACCACTGAACAGTTGTTAAATGGTGTATCCACAGTTTTGACACACCACTCTACCACCTGCCCTTAGTGTGAGGAAGCCATAGGCCAGTTCCTCAACTCCATGGGCAATGCAAACACTTCCCTCTAGGCCTTGCAGAACCTACTGTCATGCTGCAGGTTAGTGATTGGCACATTCTAGCCCTTTGAGTGTTTCCTCGCATACCCCAGTCTCTATTCCACTAATTCCCTATTCCACCAATTCACAGATTGGCTGCTTCCAAAGAAAAAGTATGACCCAGTTTTTCATTTCCACCTTATATCATGGCCCAGCTTAACACACACCACCTATACTTGATTTCACTATGAACAAATATCACTTTATGAACAAAACATAGAGATTAGAGTAATAGCAAGTAGAAATATTGAAAATAAATGGTTACATATAAAATTATAAAACACGTTCTAGAGCCTACCAGTAATTAGCAAGATAGTCTCATGTCTTGTTGAATGTTGCTTACTACAAAATTCTTCTTAGTGTTATACAGCCAGGATGGCTGTGAACCTCCTCCTTTATAAGGCAAGCATGCAAATAGCTTGCCTTCTGCATGAAGGAAACTATGGATCTTTTTGCCTCCCCCTCAAAGATATAGTCTTCTTATGCTTTGTCCTCATTCATAAACCAAACACTCTCCCACTCATTGTTTTTCCCTGTACATTTTTCCTCTCTCTCTCTCTCTCTCTCTCTCTCTCTCTCTCACTTGTGCGGCAGCAGTCTCAATATGCTTTGTGAGGCATACAGTACATGCATGGCCAGTGAAATAAGCATCTGTAATCTCATACTTGGAAGGAACATATCAGAGGTTTGTCACTTCCTGGTGATGTACCTTAATTCCTGGACCTAAAGAACATAATTTTCAGTATAGACACAATTCCTTAAATATTATCTGTATATACATTTTGCAATAATTATGTTGACCAGTGGGCTACCAGCTCTTGGTAGAAATTTCATATGCCATCCTTTAGTTAACCCTTCTGGTGTATTATGCAGTTATCCAGTCCCAGGAACCTTTGTAAAACCATATGTGTACTAGGGATGTTAAAGAGTAGTCAAATAGTGTACGTCAGAGGCAGCAAAGAGTGGGGGGGGGGGTAGTGGGAGCTGGCTTAAAAGCCGGTTTCCCCCAGCACCATCTCCATGGAGGGGGAAGGGAGGCAGAGGTGCAATGTGGGATCCTGCAGTTTAAATGTAGGAGCCCAGCTGCTTACACATCTGATTCCCACTACATTTAAACTTTAGAGCTGCAGCAGCCCCTTATCGGCTAATCGTGTACGTGATACAAATTGTATTTAGTCATTTACTCATCATTAATGTGTATTCCCCCACCCTCTGATATCAAAGGATCCCTGGGTCACGTGTGATAATGGCTTTTGGATACTATCAGTGAAAGCTTGATTTGAACTGAGTACTAATGATCTCATTACCAATTTCTGAGCCATCCATTTCCATTAAATCTGTTTTCTACATTACTCTTTTATTAGTTGTAGTGCAATATCACCAAGTGGCCCCAGTCAGGATCAGGGTCTCATTGTGATGAGCATAATAGAAATATATAGAGAGTTAGCTAAAGGGTCATGCTAGAGTGAACTGTTATTAATAGTGGAAGACAATCCAAAGGCAAGGCACTGACAGACACTCTTGTGTGTGGATATGTTTGTTTATGGATATACAGCTGAATGCAGTTGGTCCATTGCATCCTGTTTGTGCAGGATCATCCCAATAATACCATAGAAGTTTTGCTTATTGTGGGCAGTTCTGGCTTTGTCCAAAGAACAAAGGGTTCTGAATCATGTTGCTTTCTCAATGGGCTAAGATTGAGAGTTTTGATCAAAGCCATCTTGTTAAATCACAGATCTGGAACTAGTAGCTGTTGCCCATAATCCAGCCTGTTTTCTCTTCCCAGCACCTTCCCCTGGTTTGACCTGACAACTGTACAAATGAAGGAGTCTCCCTTCAGTCAGCTCCTAGCAAGCAGTGAGTCTCTTCAGAACCATCTTACTTTATTGTACTATACCTCCTTTGGAGTTCCACTGGAAAAGAGTGGCAGGATGGTCAGCAGGGGCCACTGGCAGCAGAATATCGTCTTTTCTTGCCACAGCAGCTCCCAGGATGGTGCTGGGTTATGAGTCAATCTCCACCCATGGCTCTTATTGATGTGACTTGGACAAAAGACCCAGGCGCTGTTCTCACACTATTTTGGAGGCTTCATACAGTATAATCGTTGTGCAATTCCAAATCTCCAAGGATGAAACTGCTTTATTAAGGTTTAATGCTGAAAAGAACTGTGGTGGAGATTAAGACCCCTTTCCTACCAGTTCCCATTGCAGGATCCATACAGTTGTGTGTGGTGGAGGAATGCACAGTGAGGACTTTTTCCTGCAGTAGAAAAGAGAAAGCTGGAATAGCATGTAAACCTCTGACTTGCCCACCACCCACAGTACAAGCCATTTGCAAAGTAATGGACAAATTAAACAGTTAAAATGAATACTGTTCCTGTCTAACTTTTATCCATGTACAATCTTGCCTGTCTTGTGACCACATGAAGGTCTTGGTAAAACCCTCACCAATCATGAGTTGTCTACTGCAAAAATATTTGGGGGTCTCTTTTACGTGTGGTAGCCCCGAGTCCTCTCTCTGGACTTGTGGCATAAGGGCCATTAACAAAATATTTGAGTGAGTGAGTGAGTGAGTCATCAAGTATGGCTATCACTGAATGGTCCTGGAACCTAACAGTTTTGACTCTATCCCAGAGCTAAATGAAGAAAAAGTGGGCATTTGAACAGCTTGCTCTTTAAACGTTTAGACTAACACTGCAGATTCCACTAATCGGTTCATGTTTTTATTTATTTCTACAAGTTTGTTTTGGCATTCTACTAAAACTGTTTGTCAGGAAAGTTAGTATCCTACCAGATGATTGCTTTTGTTTGCTCCAGGCTTATCAAAATTGTGTTTTGTGCTTAATTCAATTTCAGCATTGGGCACTAGCATTTTTTTTTATTTATATGATAAAAAATGCTAGAGAAAATGAATGTGCCCAACAACCTTACAGTGGCTGCAGTCCCACCACACTGGGTTGTGACCTAGTAAGATCTCAGATACTAGAGAAGATTGTCTCTGTTCAATATTTGGATTGGCTGGGATCAAGGAAATCTCTGCTGCTGCTGCGGACAATGGTATTGATGATTCAGTAGGAAGTATTTTTTTCTTTGTCAGGATTGAACTGCTATTTAACCATAGTGCCAGGAGATGCTTTGCTGCTGCAAGTGCTGATGAGACATAAAAGTGTAGGATGAGACACAAAACCAAAATCCTAATCATGTAAAAGATTGCACAATATCTCTCTCAATAACAGGGATCTTAACCCTGGTACCTAGAGCAATTCAGTGCTCCTTCCTTCAATTCTCTCTTCAGTTTCAGTTGGATAAAATGTTCTCCTTCACTTCCTGTCCTAATCTACCATGTTGTTCCACGGTGCTTGCAGGAATAAACAGCTGCCTTGTTCTACCTCAAAAGTAACTATTTCTGCAACGAGGAAAGGATTCTTGCTTTATATGGCTTGTAAGGCACCTTGAGATTCTTTACAACACCAGGCACAATGTACATAAAGCAATTATATACATCACTATAAACTTATTTCTGTGTATGGAATAGTGAAAGAGATCAGCTGGATCTGTAATGGCAAAGACTATAGTTTGTGAAAAAAAACCCTATAATCTATCCCCCAAACATGAAGAAAGCGGGTGTCAATGAAAGGTGATAAAGTTTTATCTATGGCAGGGGTAGGGAATCTTTTTTGAGCAGGGAGTCACTACTGTGTGTGGTGGGGTGAGGTCACACATGCAAGTGAGAGGCAAACTCCCCTCCCCCTTAGTGATGTTGCCCCTGAGGAGAAAGACACGCCTCATGTTCCATTTGTACACCACGGCCTGGGCGGCCCAGGCTACTAGATTCTGTGTGCACCAACCCCACAAAGGGAAGAGTGGGGACAGGAGTGCCATCATGAGCTCCACAATGTTGGGGGGGAGCCCCAAGCCTCAGGGGCCTTCTGGCAAGGCATGGACCACATATAACTCCTGGGCCTTAGGTTCCCCACCACTGATTTATGGTGGTCTTCCTGGTCTTAGTGATAGCATGTGAAATAGCAGCAGTTGATAGGTATTCAGATATGATTGAGCCATACAAAGCTCCTACAAAAGAGAAAAAGAGGAACTTTAGGATAATGATACTTAGGAGATTGGCACCTGATCATATACTAGAGGGGGTTCTTTGAGAGTAAAAGTTTAAATGGCGTTAGGGATGTTAAGTTAAGACTAGTCGATAAGCACTTCCATGTTTCACCTTTGAAGAGCCCCAGCGGAGGCTCTTGTGCATTTCAAAGTTGGAATCCTGTGTGGAGCCCAGGGCCAGCAGGAAGTCCTGCTGGATCCAGGCAGGCACTTTCACCTTGAAATGCAGTCCTCAGCTGATCCCAGGCTCCACCCAGCATTTCAAAGCAGCAGCACCACAAGGAGTCTGGGGTCAGCTGGGGACTCCCTAGCTGATCCTGGGCTCCTCCTTACATTTCAAAGCAGCAGTGCCGCATGGAGCCCAGGGTCAGCTGCTCCACACGGCGCTGCCAGTTTGAAATGCCACAAGGAGCCTGATGCTGGGCTCCCCGCGGCATTCAAAGCGGCAGTGCCACACAGAGCAGCTGACCTTGGGCTCCGTGTGGCATTGCTGCTTTTAAGTACCCCACTCTTCTCCCTCCCCCTGATAGAGGCAGCAAGCAGGGGAGGGAGGGAGCAACTAGTCGACTAGTTCTTTATATCCCTAATAGAAAGCTGTTCAAGGGAAGAACAGTGCATGGCTGAACATACTGTCAGCACTAACACAATCAGAGTATCGAGGGACCTGTCTTTAATCTGGAGAGGATGGAATTGTTGCTTCTTGAACAAAGGAAGATGAGGGTGGTGTCTGCTTTTACAGTTTTCTGGGCTTTTTACAGTTGAGGAATTGTAGCATATTGCTCTAATCCTGCTTCTTGGACAAACTGAGTGAAGGTGAGGGCATCAGCTTTTTCACCACTTGGGGCTTTGTGCTCTAGAAACAAGCCCAGATTGTCCCTGTATGGGAGGGCAATGCTTCTACTCCAGAGAGACTCCTCAATCCCCAGCAGCTCTCGGACATGCCATGAAATCTCCTGAAAATGCAAAAAGAAACATAAGGGAGCCTATTCTTAGTGTGGTAGTTACAATAGAACCCTGTAGTGTACAGCTACACAGAAAATAACTCCTGCAGTTTCTTGTCTCAGAATGTTTTCCTTTTCATAGAAAACATTTCTATGCATGGTTTGACAAGATGGTTTGACAAGATGAGTCCAATGCACAGTTATAATTATTTTTCTAATTAATGTAAAAACAGGATATTTGATTAGCACAGGGATTTGCAGTATGTTAGTCACAGCTGCTGCCTTTATTGCTCCAAATAGGTTTGTTTTGTTTTGACTCCTACTAGCCCTTGCAGAGCAAACATAGCCATGGGTGAGTGAGTTGGATTAGTCTCTGCCTAGTATGCATCAACAGTGTCTGCTAAATTGTGCATGTAGAATTTGTATTGCTGATGAGAATATACGAGGCAGAAAGGTCCAGTTAGATCACCAGCAACAGCACTGCTCACTAAAAAAATCATTTACTGAGTTGTAATCTGAGTTAGCTGGACCTGGAACCATCAGTGGAGGAGTCTGACTCTAATACACTGTAGTCACTTTTCAGAATATAAATTTTGTTTTTTAAAATAAGATAACAGCGGCAATTGGGCCAGCGGGCGATCGGTCCCTTGAGTTGCCCTTGGCTGATACCAGTATTGATACGTCTACACACCGTCCTGGTAGAGGAATCTGCCACCCCATCAGAAAGAATGTCCGGCCCTAATGATTTAGTTACCTCCACCTCACAGGTGCAAATTAAGCTTTGGACCCCCCTGTGCGAATGGGCGTCACAAAGACGTTCCAACTTAATTGGCATTTTAATGACAAGAGAAGCATCTATGTGACCACAGAGGTATAAAGTGGGGCCCCGTGCCCCAATCTAATTGGAGATCCACCCATATACCTGCTGGTCAGGCGGTCTTAGACCCCCGAGACTTTAGGGACGCCTTCGTCTCGTATCAACTGATTCCCATTGGGATTGAGAGAAAACACTGGCTTTGCCGGAGTAAGGATCGCAGGGGTGAGAATATACCTGCTAGGTGTCTGTCTGTGCGCATTCAATAAGAGCTCAGGGAACCAAAAGGGTTCCATGGTACCTTTAAGTGACTGTTATTGTATTGTCTTTGTAGTGACTGTGTTATCTGTAACACAGCAGTAACATTTAACAGCTAAGCTTGCCTTGTAACAATAAAATAGTAACTGTTTAAGCTTTAACCTGACTCCTTCTGTTGCTGTAACAGAATCAAACACAATAAAAAAGAACCATAGCCAGTTTGTCTATCTTGCCACGGTCGGGGTAAACGCGGTAAGAGCTGAGCGTTGAGTCGTGCCGCCTCCACGGGGCAGACTCTTGGGGCACCCGTCAGCCTCCCTGGCTGCCCGCTGCAAAGGGACTCTGTCATAGCAGTCAAAGACTCGGGTGTGACAGGGCTCACAGACCACTCACTACCCTGGCTAACACTCTCCTTCCAGCTCCCTGTGCTCACCAGGGCAGGGAAGCCATCTGTCCTGGTCATTAAAGATGGAGTATTAAGGATGGTGTCAGCTGGCGGGAACCTGATCTGGCCAAAAAGCCTCTAAATTCGTGCTCTTACAGGGACATCTCTTCTTTTTTTTTTCTTGACAACTTTGCCCCGGCTCTTTGTGCTGGATCCACTGATATCTTGGCCCTTTGCCTAGAATGGGTTGGCCACCCGTGGTCTAGCCCATGCACTTTTAGTGAAAAGGGAAACCAGGAAGATAATGGCCAAGGATGGGACTCTTAGAAGTGCCTCAATTCCTTTCACAATTGATGGAACAAAAGTTCCTAGCTTAACTGGATGATTTAAAAAATATTACCTCGAGTTCATTTTGCTGGGTACACATTAGAATTAAAGAATTGGAACTGTTCAGCCAGGCAAGAGTTAAGACTGGCTCAAATGCTTCTTGGTGCTTAACAGTATAAAGAACACAATGTTCAAACTCCAGTCACTGGTGCATAAAGATTTTATCTCTTGTTGCTTGTGAGCTGCAAGCTGTTTGAACTTCCGGCTCATGCCCTATGAGGGAGGCAATTTTAAATAATGAAGATTTGAAACAAAACTGTTATGTCTTCACAAAGGCAGCCTTTGGCCTATTTGACATTCCCAAGGGAAGGGTATGTATGGTTCAGTACGCTGTAACTCATGAGGATGCGGCCAGCCAACTCTTTTCATGTGATAAAGAAGGCAGTGTATACATCCAGTCAAAAAATAAGAATCGTGCCTACTGGACTTAGAGTCCCTTTCAAATGTTAATCCCCACAACCTCACTATGAGACTAGGAAAGGATTTTACCCATTTTAAGGGTGGAACAACTGATGTTAAAAGGTTGTAGCCCAACATTTCAAACTCGGATTTTTGAAGTTGGGATTCTAAATCAGTTACATAATTTTCACAGGTGCTGAATGACTAACATCTGCAGCTCACAATAAACATGGGGAACTCAGATCACTTATGTGTCTATCATTATGAAATTGAATGTCCATGTTTAAACAATCACCTTTGAAAAATGTGGGTTGAAGGACTTGTTCAACATCACAGAGCCAGAACTCCAGGCTTGCTGTCCTGTTTTCTATTAATTTAATTACACGCCAAAGGAGGCTGAGCCTCCCTGAAACAGCCAGGTATGGCCCTGCTCATGCTCTGCCTCCGAACCCTATCATGCATGCTTCCAGTTCTTGCACTTTCCCTCGTGGCCAGGGCTGGGATTAGGGTAGGCTAGCCTGTGGCAGGGACTTGGGATGGCTGAGGCTCATACTGCCAGGTGCTCCTAATAGGGGGTGTGCTGCCCACCTGGTACTCTGAAGCTGGCGGTGCTGGGGGAGGGGAGCTCTGAGCTCTGGATTAGAATGGGAGTGCAAGGGATACAGTCACTGGAAGATGGGACAGAGCTAAGGGCTAGTTTCCCTCAACAGGAGATTCATGCACTGCTTGTGCACTGAATTTTGTTAAAAACCTCAGTTAACACTCCTGAAAAGGAAGATAGCTAGGGGTTCAACTTTACTTAAGTCAATGGGAAGAGAGTGCCTTAGCAATCAGTTTGCAAACACTTAGAAGATAAGGTGATAAGTAACAGTCAACATGGATTTGTCAAGAAAAAATGTCAAATCAACCTAATAGTTTTTGTTGATACTATAATAAGCCTTGTGAATAGGGTGAAGTGGTAAATGTCGTATATTTTGACTTCAGGCTTTTGATAGTTTCACATGACTTGCTCATAAGAAAATGAGTGATATATAACCTAGATGGACCTCCTATAAAGTGGATGTATAACTGTTTGGAAAACAGCTCCCAGAAAGTAGTTATTAGTGGTTCAAAGTCAAGGGAAGATCATATACAGGCAGTCCCCGGGTTACGTACAAGATAGGGACTGTAGGTTTGTTCTTAAGTTGAATCTGTATGTAAGTCGGAACTGGCATCCAGATTCAGCCGCTGCTGAAACTGATCCGTTTCAACAGCGGCTGAATCGATTGAACTTAAGAACACCAAGTCAGCTGCTGCTGAAACTTATCAGCCACTGATTCCAGGAAGCCCGGGGCAGAGCAACTGCGCC